GACAGGCCCTTGCGGGTCTCAAACCAGGCACCGCACAGCTGGCAGTCCAGCTCTCTGCCCCCGTCACTATCTAAAGCTGCGGAGACAAAACACAGGGGGGGGTTCACGGCCGCCACCTTGGCCGGCCCTAGGGAACTGAGACAGGCAGGCCTGGTGTGATTCTCGTCTGTTCAGGCAGTCCGGGGTCCAAGACTGAGGTCGCAGATTGATTTTTAAGAGGTTCTGGAAAGTCCTGCTTCCTGCCTCACTCTTTGGCATCAATGTACGTGTGTAGAGCTCAAGGACGTGGGGTAGAGAGGCAGTAGCCCAATTCCAGTGGTCTAATCTGATGCTCTCAGGCCTTCTTCGCTGGGACCCCAGCTATGGGAGCTAAGTATGCAGGTGGCAGGTACAAAGCGGGGCCCGCCTGGCTGCCCAGCCTCACGCAGCCGAAGGCACACCTGCTTGGGGCCCTGCTCCTAGAAGCACAGCAGACCATGGAAGCAGCTTCACTGGAACCTGAGGTGCCCCGCTGGCCAGGGGGCCAAGACCGTGGGCTCATTCCTAGGCTCTAGGGGCCACCGATGTGTGGGAAGGCCTGATTTCCTAGGGGCCACCCAAGTTAAACCTGCTCACTGAGACTCAGGGGGTTTCTTCCTACACCCTACTTGGCCAGATCCACAGGCAGACTGGACCCAGCACAAGTCGGAGATGCCTCTGCACGGACTGATGGCCAAGAGCATGTGAAGACAGGGCCAACCATGGGACCTCCTGTCAGGTGGACCACTTGTCTACCTGCAGGACCCAAGACACCCCACAGGTGGGAGCACGCATGGCTAGTTCCCTTCACTGCTCCAATCCTCAGGCCTGCATCAGGCGAATAGCTGCCCCTAAGTGGCAAGGGTGATCCTAGCTGGCCTAGCAGCCACAGCGGGAAGAACAGCAAAGTAAAGTGGGAGACAGGTGATAACATGCAGCATGGCCAGCACAACAGGAGACGTAGCACTGTGACCAATACTCCGACCCAAAACACAGGAACTGTGGTCTCCATTGCCCCCACCCTGAACACTATAGCCCAACCTGAGGCCTCTGCCCTCCCAGGGCTGGTACCTCCCTCAGCTCCCAGGACCCACACTCACTGAGGTTCAGGGGCCCCTCGTCCTCAGACTGAGGCCACTGTGCCTTTGGGGAGACCGGCCGGGGGCTCAGGGACAGCTGGGGGCTCTTGTCCTCAGGATTCTTGGGGATAGGGGAGCCTGCCAAGGCCAGTGGTGCCTTCTTGAGGAGTGGGGAGCTGGGCGGGTGAGCCAGGCCCTTGGCTGAGAAGCCAGGAGGCGACTTGATGGCCTTGTTGATAGCAGGGGCGTCCAGGGGCTTGGCCAGGGTGAGCAGGCTCTGTCGGGGGGCCCCAGCGACCACCTCCTTCGGGGAGCTGGACTTCTTAGTCAGGCCCGGGGGCAGCCCAAGGGGTGTATCAGGCAGGCCCTTCTGCTTCACGAGCTCGTAGAGGAGGTCGATGGGGGCACCGCTGCTCTCAGACTCGGCCACACCCAGCTGCCGCAGGTGGGAGCGCGCATGGCTGGACAGGCCCTTGCGTGTCTCAAAGCAGGCACCGCAGACCTCGCAGGTGGTCAGGCTCTGGGCTAGAGGGCAAGACAGAGGCCAGGAGAGCCAGCTGTGAGGTCCCACAGACCCCGCTCTCCCACTTCTCTTCCCTTGGGGCCCGCTCAGGCAGCTCCGTGCAAGGGTTTGGTTTCGGTCAAGCCCACATGGTCCTTAAAATGATGCTAATGAGGCAGAAATTGGCCTATCCAGTTTGCAAATAAGGAAACTGAGTCTCAGAGAGTGGAAGAATTATGCCCAAGGGGCCAGTGGCAGAGCCCTACCGTGGTCCAGCCGGTGAAATTCCTTTTGGATCTCCAATGTACCAACCTGGCAACAGGCCTTCACGCAACCAGACCTGCCAGCCGCACACTTTACAGAGCTAAGTCCTGGCCATCCTCTGCCACTCAATTCATCCCCCAAACACCAGCCATGGTCTCGCAGTGCCCTGCACCCTCTTCTGCAGAGCCCTTATCCCTGCCTGTCTGCTTCTTTGCCTCCCCACTCCCCAACTTCATGACCCCAAGGACAAGGGCCAGGTCTGTTCTGCAGCTCTGACATCCCTGAGGTCCAGCACAGTGTCTGTCACTACTGAGTAATGACCTGAGAATAAACACACACACAAGGCCTTGTCGTGAGGAAGATCACACAGCTAATGAGGGTCAACGTCAGCCAATGAACTGGGTCTGAGCGTGAGCCTTGACAGCCATCACCGCTGCTTCTCCGGATGCCTCGCCCTCGTCCAGTGAGGGTGAAGCTCAAGGCCACGCATGCCCAGGGCAGCAGCCGCTCAAGAAAAGACAGCTGGTATCTCCTGGGTGCCTTGCAGTGCCAGAGATAAAGCTGTGGCCAACCTGGCGACCCACTTTAACCCCAGGTCCAAGAACTCCCTGTGAGTGTGACCAACCTGGCCAGTACCATCACCCTGCCACCTGGGCCACTCACCCTTGAGGTCCGGCAGCTCTTGCTTGCTGCCATGAGAAACCTCTGCAGCCACTTTGCTGCTCAGCCGATTGGCCACCTGCTCCAGGGGCCCGGGAGCAGGTAGGCTCTTCCTGGGGAGCAGAGGGGGGCCCAAGTCCATGGCCACCATGGTGTTTTCTTCAGAACCCAGGCCTGTGAGGTTGGGAAGACAGCCTCAGCCTCAGCAAAGCATAGGCTGTCTAGCCCTATAAGAGCAGAGAGCAGGGGCATGGTGGGGGGTTGCTTCACTCTCATCCTTGGTGCCTACGCTGGGCTCACCCCATGGAAGCAGAGGCTCCACCCATAACCCCCCAAGCCAGTATGACACGGGGATGTCCAGGCTGCCCCCTGACAGCAGAGACCAGGAACAGCTTCCACCCGGCTCTGAATACAGGTTGGAGGACACAGTGTCAGTCTGAGCCACAGCTCCCATCCTAGAAGATCTCAGAGGTCTTTCCCTGGGCAGAGCTTGTGGAGGGGAACATCTGTCAGCCTGGAGACAGGTGGGGGCGGTCAGAGAGGAATCAGTAGGAGAAGGCCAGAGGCGGAGGCAGTGCAGATGAGGAGCCAGGCCGGGGAAGAGGCTGCGCCAGACTTGTGGGGAGTTTCCAATCAGGCAGGACAGCTGGGGCTGGGGCTGCAGGAACAACCGGCCTATTCTCCCAGGCCGGGCTCTAGGGGGGTCAGCGGAATGACGACATGGCTGGGGACAGGAAGAGCAGCGATCACAGAACTTTGTGTAAAGTTGGTGAAGCACTGTCCATCATGCCATAAGCTTCCCTGGGTTGGCTGTGCATGAGGACAGGGAGCCAAAGGTTCATTTTCACGGTCTCCTTTTCCAGAGAAAGCGGCCTGAGAGCCTGTTGAGCCCCCTCCCCCAGGTTTAGTGCTGAAGAGGGTGAACGGGCTCCCAGGGTGAAGGACCGGTGCCGGCGGGGCCCTGGAGGCGCTCGGCGCCAGGATAGGGAGGCGGGGGGTCCCCTAGCGACCTAAGTTAGTCAATGTGAGTCCCACGGAAACCAGGAGGAGGCAAGCAGGGAGGCCGGCAGGGCCGGACCCCGAGGGCTGGGTCCAAGCCTCCGGGCGGATGAGGTGGGTGCGTCTGTCAGACGGGACAGGGGCCGCGTCGGGGCTGAAGTGACTCGGAGCGGGTTTCCGCGCCGGAGAGGCCGCGACTCCGAGGAGGGACATCACGGGGCTCCCCGCGGAGCCAAGGACACCTGTCACACGGGGCGAGGGTCCCGCGAGTGGCGGTGATGGTCTCCGAAACTCGAGACCCCGAGAGCGGCGACA